CAGAAGAGTCCTCGGGAAAACCAAGGAAGACACATGGAATGGCGCGAGGCGAGATCTTGTCCGCGGAGGTGTCGCGAACATGTGCCAAGTAGCCCCAGACACGAAAGCGCGACGCATCACCAGGGGACCCGTTCCAAAGACTAGTCGGTGAAGCCCCTGGCCGAGAGGTTCAACCAGTAAGCGGCGTACCGAACCGTGTAGGGCCACAAAAAATGGGGCACATGGGCGTGAATCATGGAGGTGCGTGCGATATCCATGACCAAACCTATACAGTGCTCAGCAACCCTATTTTGCTATGGGGACTCTGGAAGTGTCCAGGACTGACGAATGCCTTGTTCGCGACAGAAGCCGGCGAGAACGCCGGAGCGAAACTCACCCCCACGGTCGTAGTGATGACAACTGATACGACGGCCATGAGTGCCCCCGGTGGTGAGAAACCACCGAATCAGCGTAGAAGTCACGTCGGACTTCTTCGCCAGAGGAAACACAATGGTGTAGTGAGAGTAGTCGTCAACGACCACCAGAAAGAATCTCTCTTGCTCAGGGCCAGGGCGAGAGGCGGGGCCCCAGACGAAGGGAGGAGGGGTGAGGGGTGGTGCACAGCCGACCCTCGACGCAAGGGGCACAAGGTGGTGCAAGCGAAGGCGACATCGACGGCAAGACTTGCGGGAGGCGTAAGACAAGACGCTGACTAGACATAGTGCACAGGCAAGGAATGGACGGGTGACCAAGGCGGTGGTGGTTCAGAACAGTGGGGTGGGCAAGCGACCGACATGAACAAGACGCAGCAACCGGACTAGACACTGGAACCTAACCAGACACAGCTACCTGGTGGGAGGCAGCAACCCGGTGAGACGCGGGGACCAGACGCGGGACAGTGACAAGGGTCGGAGGTAGCTGCTGTTGCTGCTGACTCTCTCGGTGGCCAGTGTGAAGTCTGTAGAGACCAGAGCCCGGCTCAGCGTGAAAGGGGCGCGTACGTGTCACCGTCTACATAGGTTGCAGAGGCCCAGAAGGCTTAAATCATACACCTACGTGACTACCCATGAGCGGCCTCACACCCACCAAGTTCCTGGAGAACGAGGGGACAGGAAAGCCGGTCAAGAAACCCGAGGGAACAACCGGGCACGGAAGCGTAATAGTGTAGCGAGCAGTGACTGGTCCCGAAGTGAGATCAGCCAGTGCTACGGAGACCGGCGCAGGAAGCGGAGAAAGAGTCTTGTGGTCGTGGAAGAAACGGTGTGAAGCTCCAGAGTCTAGGGTGAAAGACAGTGAAGCGTCCTCCGGAGCAGCACCTGGACTAGGACCTAAGCAAGTACCTACACTAGCAACTGGCACAGGATCAACACTAGCACCTAAGCTAAAAACATGCGAGTAAACGGAGTTAGAAGCACTAGAGTCAATAATAGCATACATAGCATGAGGAGTTCCTAAGAGATCAAGCAACTGAGAAGCAGACATGGCCCACAGAGTGGCACCGTGCGAGTGAACAAGAGGAAGCCAGTTAGGGGCATGTCCGTCGACCCCGTAGGCCGCGCGAAGAGTGTCAGTGAGCTGAGCAAAGCACTGACCCGGTAGGTGGCGACGGTCTCAGCGGAAGTCGCTTCAAGTACATATCTGAATGATATATGGGCAGGGAGGGTGGGCGTCACCACGCGACAACTGACGCGGTCCTGACCCCTGCTGCTACTGTGGCCACTGCGAGAGGAGTGGCTGCTACTGCTGCTGCTATCGCTGAGCTGGGTACCAAGCCACCACTCCAGCACCTACAGCTGGCAGTCTTGCAGGTGCCCATTTAACCCGAGTGGCACCTCTACTAGCCGCAGTAGGGGAGTCACTAGACGTGGCACCAGAAGCTCCACCAACTCCTGCACTCCCACCACCGCCGCCCGCAACGCCACCTCCGCTGCCGCCCGCACCCTGGCCACCCCTTCTGCCACTCCAAGCTCTAGACCGCGCAGAAATCGTAACATCAGCTGCGGTCACGTCAGCAGCGGCAGTGGCGAAGGAGGCAGTAAAGGTGGGCAGCTGAGGGACAGTGCACCCGTGGAAGAGTGGCGGGGGCACAACACCAGAGGCAGAGGCTACCGAGCGGAGGTTGCTCTCGATGTCCTAGAGGGCAGACTCAAGAACGTCGATAGTGAGCTCGCTAAGGTGCTTCAGAAGAAGCGCGTCACGAACCGAGGCAAGGTGGTCATAGAGCCTAGTGGCGATGAAATAGATAGTAACCGCCATGGGGGGGGGGGGGGGGGGGGGGGGCAGTGCAAGCAGCGCGATCAAGTCAGCAGAGCACTCAAACAAGGCGAGGTCAGGAAACAGGAAGGGGAGGAACACGCGACCGAGAGAGTCAGTGGCGTAGCGAGCCTTGATCGCCGTCAAGAACTCACTAGCCGTGTGAACCTGGGTGAAGTGGGTCTCCTCAGACTCAGGGGGGATGCTGGTGAGGGCGATGCAGGCAGCAGCATTGTGCGACCTTTATGTTGTCAGCGCAGCACGTTGACGTGCAACACGATCACTGTCTGTAGTGGTGGCGGCAGCGTCTAAGGAATCAGGATTGGGGGGCGCACGGAGGTCACCGAAAGCGTGCGCCCACAGGGACTCGTCTGCCTGAACTTGACTCTCTAGGAGGCGCTGCGCACGCAGGAGCCAAACAGAGAACTCGAGCAGCCTACCCTCGGCGTCAAATCGGAGGACTCTATGCGTCGCCATAGCGGAAGCGTGGAGAAATGACAGGTAAAAACCGCCTAGAAGGTCGGGGTAGGGTGCGGCAAGCAGTGTGTGACGTGACGAGAAGTGAGGGACATGACACGACGGGACGAGAAGGGCAGGCGTGGCGCGACTAGGAGGCGCGACGCGACGGGACGGGACGCACGGACGCGACGCCACATGACGGGACGGATGGACGCGACGCGACGAGACGGGACGGACGGACACGACCCGACGGACGGACGGGATGGACGGGACCGACGCAACAGACACGGCGCGACAGACGGGATGGGACAGGACGGACGGAATGGGACGGGACGGACGCGACGGACACGACGGACTCGACGCGACGGACGGACGGGACGGACGGGACGACACTGGACGGACGGGACGGATGCGATGCGACCGGCAGGGGCGTGACGGGTCGGGATGGGCAGGAGCGACGCGACGCGACGGGATAGACGAGCGCGACGCTACGGGCAGGTGCTACGGGCGCTAGGGAACGAGACGAACTGGCGCGTCAGGCGCTAGGGGACGGTACGAGCACTCCGGGCGCTAGGGTATGGGAGGAACGGGATTCCATAGGATCCTAACCTAGGTGATACCATGTCGGAAACCGAATGGATAACGGACGATTGTGGGTTGGGGTACATAAACCTAATCCAACTGCTGTACCCCATATGACACGCATCACTAAAGGCTACATCATTTGATACAAATGGCCTCCTTAAAGTCAACAAGAGGTACCAGCCTTCGTCTCTGTTCCGAGCCGCTTCAATAACATCGGCGACGAGGCCGACAAATCTTCCCTGTCCCCGTCTTGACGCAGTCCAGCATGGCTGGTGCGGAGGCCTATCCTTCCACAAAAGGGCGGATTGGTCCGCACAAGCTGGTCTGCCAACTCTCTAGGCGATGAGAGCTTTACATTGGTTGAATCTATGCGTCTTGAATGTGTTGTTCTGCAGGAATTCGTGTTTTAATTGGTGCGTCAATGTACGGAATGGATCGGAAATTTGATATGAGTATGTTTTACGCGTTCAGAAGGTACCGTGTTGGCCGTTTTTGGCAAATTAATGTCAGGATAACACAAAGAGAAATCTTTGTAGTGATGGGCATTAGCTATAGTGAATTGAACTGTAGACAGTATCTGCTGTCGTCCCACCGACAAAGTCACGTCCACAAATCATTTCAAACCACTCACTGACACTCGACTTCCCGAATCCACCATCACGAAACAGGTTCTTTAGAGTTCCGAAACAAGCATGTCCGTGATTATCTCTAGTTGTTGCTTTCCTTCTCGCTACATCATGATGTCATTTTCCTAGATGAGAGTCAAAATTAGCTGATGCATTTTAGTAGAAGACCTGGCTTTCCGCGAGCGCGATGAAGCCCTCAGCAGCCCTGCTGCTCGGCGCGCTGGTGCTGCTGACGTGTCACGCGGTTTCACGCGTCGAATGCGTGGCTCTCGCCAAGTCACAGGGTGCGTGCCGCCGTGAGAATCATCTTGATCCGATGACGATGGTTATTTGAGTCAATGAGTCAAACGAATGATCCGATCATGATTGAATCAATGAACTATTGAACACGTACCGGCGTGCGTGCTGAGAAACCTTTGATGTAGAAACTTCTTCCCGTGGCGTCACGCGCCCACTTAACGCGTCTTGGTTTTTACCATGTGCACTGCGCGGCGATCCCCGGCAGCACCCCTGGGCTGCGTCACCGTGAGGTGGCATACATCACATTGCCATCACGGCGTGAGAAACCCAACATGAATACAGCACTGTAAATCTATCACCATGAGTCTATTACACAATAGATCATACAAAACCATTATCGGTGGGGATCCATCATCACAAGACCTCCCAACTAGGCGACCAGCAGACGAATCTAAAAAGGCAACGCATTCGTCAGTAAGCGAGGTAACGATAGTCGAAGTGCATTCAACGAGAGGAGGATGGGAGATGAGCGGAGAAAATAGGATAGCGGAAGAGGAGAGGGGGAGGGGAGAGGAGAGGCGGCGGCGCTGCCTTTCTCGTTCCTACAGTGCCCTTCCTATACACTGGCCGGAGGTGGAACAACATGTGTGAAGTGGGTGGGAATGTGATGAGTGAGGTGGAGGGCATGTGATGAGCGGACCAGGGCGCCTGATGAGGTGGGGAGGATGAAATGAAAGCAGTGTTTCAACCACCGTTTGAATTGAATCCCCTCTGTTCCTCTGCCCTTCTCTCTTCCAATGGCTGCCCTTCTCTTCTCTCTTCCACGCCCCCCTCCCTGCCCTCCCCTCCTGCCGCCAGCGCAAGTCCTGCTGGACTGTCAGAAGGCGTGGGGCACAACGTTTGATGCCTGGGTGGTTGGTGGGGACTGCGAAATTGCCAGCAGCGTCACGTGCGACTCCCAGGGCATGATCACGCAGATGTGAGTGAACCCTCATAGACCCCCATGGACCCCCATGGACCCCCATGGACCCCCATGAGCCCCCGTGGACCCCCATGGGCCCCCACGGACCCCCATGGACCCGCATAGAACCCCATGGACCCTCATGCTTTAGATGTGAAAACTTGTGAGTGATGCAAAAAGGCATGGGGGTGGACCCACCATGTCGACCCTGTCGTGAAATAAATATCCTTGAAACATGTAGCATGGCTCCTCCTGGCTTGTACTCTCCCCCCTCCACCCGCCTCCCTTCTTTCCTCCCGCTCTCTGAAAAACAGCAACAACTCACTAGTTGCCTCGCTTTCCGAACAAGTGGAAAGAGAAAGTGGCATAACATCCATGCATGCTGTGCCACATACATGCATGTATGGTACATGCATGCAGCGATCATGTTTTCCCTCCATCACTAAAGGCACTGGCCTTTCCTTTCCTGCAACCCAATGTCCGGTCATATCAGAATATCTCTGATGAGGATTTATTAGGGTCCATTTCGGACTGAATCCATCAACATCCATTCTTGAGGCGCCTAAGAGACCATCTCCTCCATTCTAATGCCCACCCGTCAGGGGCATTTCCAACGAGAAATTAAAAGGAACAATCCCTGACTCCATCAGCAAACCTCCAAAGGCTCGTCAACTTGTGAGTGCTGCTCCTCCTTGGGTGCACAAGCAAGGCACTCACACCTTGTTTTGCGTGCTGCGCTGCCTGGACCTGGGCACTGGGGTGTGTCTGGTTTTGAGGCGCTACAAAAAAAAAAAAAAAAAAAAAAAAATCATGACATGTTTTCTTTCTTTCAAACTTCCGAGTCTAACTTGGGAAGCATGTTGTGGGGTTCAAAGGCTCATGTTGAGGCTGACAAGCTCGTACGTGCCCTTCAGTCTCTCCTTACAACCCTCCTACCTTTCACAAACGCAGATACTTCTGGAACACGAGCCTGACTGGGCAGATACCAACTTCCATTGGCACACTTACAAACCTGGTCCAATTGTGAGTTTCGAACTACCCTTACAAACCTGGTCCAATTGTGAGTTTCGAACTACCCTTACAAACCTGGTCCAATTGTGAGTTTCGAACTACCTTACAAACCTGGTCCAATTGTGAGTCTCGAACCACCCTTACAAACCTGGTCCGATTGTGAGTTTCAATCCAGACAAAGGTATGGATTGCGAGGTTGGCAAGGGTTGCTCTTGAAGCAGCAGCAGGTTGATTCCAGTCTCATACTTCGCAAGGTTCTCTCTAGGATATGTCTTCCTGCATGCTAGGCTGGTCTCGACTCGAGCTGACCAAGCTCGACTCGACCGGCCCATGACAAAAAGGAGGCGAGTATAATTTGCCTCGGTGGTTAGCCGTGTCTAGCAAGGCTGTTTAGCTGACTCAGAAGCTGGCTTAGGAGCCACCAGGCTGGCTGATCTCCAGCTGACCAGGACCCATGGCAAAAATGAGGCGGGTATTACTTGCGACGTCGCTTGCCCATGCCTACTACCTCGACCACATCACTTATGAGCTGAATTGGAAGTGGCTTTGCAAGCTGTATTGGGCGGTACAAGAGAGCAAAGCAATGAGATAGTCCCGAGATCACTCTTTGGCTGAATTTGAGTTGCGATTAAGAACTTACAGAAGTGAGATGGACCTGAGTTCATTTGCTCCGTACGTGTTCTGTATGTGTGCTCGCTGTGTTCCTCCACTCATCAGGCAACTTTGTTACAACGACATAACTGGCTCCATCCCTGCAACCATCGGCAATCTTAAGAATCTCACACACTTGTTAGTGCTGTTCCTCGTTCGGTTAACATGTTTTTGGGAGAAGTGTTTCTCGCTCAACTGTTATGTTAATGGTGTTTCTTGTTCGGTTAACATTTGAGTATTGTTTTGTCATTTGTTTGATGTGCTAGCAAGGTTCCTGCTTTCGTTCACATGTGAATGCCGTGCTTTTCCTCGTTCAGCTGACTTGTGAGCCCCAGCCAGACCCCGGATGCTTGTACTCGGCTGCAGTGACGCTGGTTTTGCTGATGGTCTCGATTGTCTTCTCTGTATTACTAAGCATGAGCGAGACGCCTGGTTGGGTTGGGCCGGCTTGCCCAACTGGGTCGGGTCGTCCCCAGGCCTTTTTTTGTGGGGCCCGTGCATGCCCAAAGAGGAGGCTGGCACGGGTTTACTATCAGGCTAAACCCGGCCCTACAAGGCTGGGTCGGGTCAGGGGTTTGAAACCAGTGACCCGGTTGGACCCGACCAAGTACCCACCTGGCCCGCCAGAAACGGGTCGGGTCGGGTCGGGTCTGGCTGCGTGCTCATGCCTACATGTTACAATTGATGCAAGTAGTAGTTCGGATTTTGCTCATGCATGCTGCATGCCCTAACAATGCAAGTCTACCATCCACATTCTGCTAGTTGAAGCTTGATTGAACTAAGCCCTTAGCCCGGCATACGCACACAATGTGTTGGCGCCCGACGAAGCTCTTAAATCAAGGCCTTAGCATTGAGCACCGAGCATTCTTGTGGAAGTCTGTGCACTGCATCGGACACTGAGCAAGTGCTTCCTTGCTTCTTTGCGCACTGCATGTTGCTGTTGCTATCAGTATAGTTACTTGTATAGATAGTAGTAGAAAGGCATGCCGCATACCCATGCTCACAAACCTTTGTTTGCCCTTTATTTCCATTCCACCCAATTTCTGAGATGCATGTGGCTGCTCGACAACCAGCTGAATGGCTCCATACCAGCGATGTTCTCCAGCCTTACATTGTTGACAAGCTTGACTGTATGAGATCTGGAGTTGTACACCTTTTCATAGGCCCAGATGTTAGCCGTGCATTCCATTCTACCCTGATCTGGTGTTATATACACTTCAACCGTTTCACTGGAATCTATATCATTTCCTCTCTATGTAGTGTAGTCTGTATGTCGTGTGATGTTGATGATCTAATGCGATTTAGTGCGTTGGGAAAGGATGGGATGCGATGCGATGCGATTCAATGCAACCTCATGTGATGTGATGCGAGGAGATGCGATGCGATGAAAGGAGATGAGATGGGATGGAACGGGATGCAATGGATTGAACGGGATGCAATGGGATCTGATATGACGTGGTGCAGTGGGATTTGTCGTGAAGCGATGTGATAAGATGAGATACGAATTGATGTGATGTGATGTTATTCCACGCTCTCTTCAACACCACCACCAGCGATGCAATTCCTTGTCCTTCCTTGACGAGGTTCTCAATACAATAATCTAGCTAGCTGAATATCGGTACAATACTTGCTCATCGGCGTCACCCTTGTTGCATCTGCTCGTAATGAAGAGGTAATGAAGCTCATAACGTTTGGAGCGACCATGATCGACCATGAGCAACCTTGGCCGCTGTGAGCAACCATGGAAAAGCAGACAGTCTCACTGTTTTTTTTGTTTGTTTTTTTTTTTTTTTTTTCACTTTGCCTTATGCATGCCTTACATACACACTTCGTGTCTCTCGGTCCCACCAGGAACCTTGGCTACAACGAACTGATAGGCACTACTCCTAGCTTCCTTGGCAACAACCTCCCAAGTCCTGCTCAATTGTGAGTGCCGCTGCTCATCACTGTATTGACATGTGACCCATTCACACCACATGCCATGTGACTCACCCACTACACATCCGCACCACATGACATGTGAACCACCCACATCACTTCCGCACCACATGCCATGACCATTACATCCACACCACCACTTGCTTATTCTTGACAACACCCTTGTGGCTTGCCACTCTTCCTGAGTGTTCGGACGTGTCACTCTGTGATAAACATTGCCATTATGGCTCTTCACCCACTTAACTGAGGCCATCACAATGCTTGGAGTCTACTCTGCTGCACTTTACATTCCACTCTCATGAAAAGCAGATATTTGGCAGGGAACTATCTGACTGGCACGATACCAGCTACATTAGGCAACCTCTTAGATCTCGAAATTCTGTAAGTCACTTGGTTTGACCCTCTTCATTGTTCGTGAGCCTCTTTTCCTGGACTGATTATGGCAAATGTCTCTGATCTTGCTCTGGAGGCTCACAGATGAACCCCAATATCCTTCTGGTTCACATTCTTGCCCCCCACAAAAGACCCACAATCACGCACACACGCACGCCGCACACATGCACACACACGTGCACGTGTGCACAAATACACAAACACACACCATGAAATGGAAGGATTAGACCGACGGCATTCCCTCCACGGACCATGAAATGGAAGGATCCAAGAAAAGTATAGCACGTTTGCTTGCTGTGTATGCATTAGCAAATCACAAGGAGATTATAACCTGATGATTGTTCGTTCCTCTCAATTTCGAATTGAGGGAAACTTACAAGGTTGAGCTTTACTTGCCCCGAGTTGAGAAACGTCAACCCGTGGCACCCTGCCTTCCCGCCACCTGTTTCACTGATTCTACTCGTTACTCTTTGTACGTAAGTGTTTTCTACCGAACAAGTGCACTATACTGTATTAATAGCTTTGCTATGCCAATCTAGGCCAGGGTTCTAAAAAACGACCGTTTTTTTGAAATTTTACCGTAAAAAACGGTATCGTAAAAAACGGTCGTAAAAAACGGTTTAAAACGGTTCCAGGAGGTGTTTCCTGTAGAACTAATGAAACGGCCACTTAGTGGGACCAAATTGAACCCAAAATGGAGCAGCATGAAGGGGACGGACCCCTTCTTGCATGTATGCGCTTGTTGGCATGATTGAAAATGTTTTTGACCTTGTTTTTCTCTTTTTTTTCTTTGTGAACAGACTTCTCTAACAAAAAAACGGCCGTTTTTTTGAAAAGTCACCGTAAAAAACGACCATAAAAAACGAACCGTATTTTACGGAAACCGTAATTTTGCTCCTTGATCTAGGCAGTGTGTTCTGAGGATGCTCAACGTGAGCACTTGTGCATCAGCCTATTCCCATATCTTACACACACCTATACACAACACCTACACGCACCACCACCTGCACACGCAGCATGGACTTGAAGTTTCCACATGCGTGTTTCCCGTTTCTTCCACTGCAGAGATTTGAGCTACAACCAATTGATCGGCACAATTCCTAAATCGCTTTACAATCTCACAAACCTAATCACATTGTGAGTGCGGTTCTTCTTGGCTTTCGAGAATGGTTAGCCCTGTCCAAACCGCAAGCGTGCAGTCCAGCTCACCAACCAGTTGGCGTGCTTTCATACCCGCCTTCTTCTTGTTGTTTATCATGTGCTTTCTCCTGTTTTTTTTATCATCAGTGAGGTTCGAGCCAGCCTGCTTGGAACAAGCCGGGGTGTGGCTCAACCTTTGTGAAAGGCTGAGCTAGGGTCTAGGAGGTCCCCACATCTCGTGGCTGGTGTGTGAGGGCTCGTGGCTTGTCTGGATTAGGCCCAAAGTCAGCATGTTACGAATCTCAACTAGGCCCAAAGTTTTTCGAATCCGGAAACCAGCACTTTGTATCTGACTCAGGCATAAAACCAGCACTTAACGAATCCAGGTTAGGCTTAAAACCAGCAGTTAACAAATCCGGGCCAGGCCCAAAACCGGAACTGTACGGATCCAGGTTAGGACCAAAACCAGCACTTTACGAATCAGGGTTAGGTCCAAGCACCCAAAAGAGGTCTGGGACATGGCCACGAGTCGAGTCGCCTCGAGTCAGAGTCGAGTCGATTCAGATTCGAGTTGAGTCACATCGAGTAGGAGCCAAGATGGGAAATCTGTCAAGACGAGTCGAGGCACAGTCGAGCCAGTTTTTTACAACTGCCGACTCGCGCACAACTTTCTACGTCGAATCATGCCTGGCCATGTCCCTTGACTCGCTGACGAGTCATGGGGCAGGAAATTGACAACTGGAATCCACGTGGACCGAATTCCACGCCATACATTAAGTTTATCGGTTGTAGTTCAAAAAACGATACCTGGTCACAAGTTAAAACCCGGATACCTTGTCCTGAGTTCGAACCAGAATTCTTTGTTGAGAGTTCAAACCAGGATTTTTGGTTGAGAGTTTGCACCAGGTTACCTGGTCGCACGAGTTCGAACAACGATACCTGAAATCAAGGCGCGCGATTTCTTTCCTCGTTTCTCATGCCTGCCTGTTTGTAGTCCAAAACACCTAGTCACTTTCTAAAGCAAATCCATCTCATGAACAAAATCAATAAACTACTGAGGTATGCTGACCTGGGATGAAGTTTTGCCGTGAGCTATAACTCAATAAGGTGACTTGTCTCGTATTGATGCTAAAATCCTTGGTGTTACTCCTCATTTGACATACCCGTTGCACTAATTGCAGATTGTTATGGGTAAACGGAATGACAGGCTCAATACCCACAGTGATGGGCAACCTTATGTATTTGACTGATTTGTGAGTTCTTTAACTAGACGAACAGTAAAACTTGTTACTCGTTAGTCTCTTGATATTGTCTGTAATGAAACACATTTCTTCGTTTGAATGTTCATTTGATATACGATCAGTTCTCATGATTTCTATTGTGATTGTTATTTACTCAATATTGTATTATATACTGCTTATAACACATATATCTTCTGTATTCTGTTTAGTCCAAAGTGGTCAGAAGCTTTATGAGTTGAAATGGTCCTGTATATTTTTCCTTCCCTGCTGCATCAGGTATCTTGCTTGGAACAACCTAACTGGCAGCATCCCAGAGTCCATTGGCAACCTCCTGCAGCTCACAACCTTGTAAGAACACCCCTGGTCTCTTGAGCAGTTCCCGTCCCGAACCAACCCTTCCCAACCCCTCCTGTACCGACCTCGGGTCAGCCCCACTCTGGTCCAGCTGGGTCCAGTTGGGTCGGGCCGGGTCGGGTCGGGTTGAAGCATTGCTCAGCCCTACTCTGGTATGGTCGAAGCATTCCTACTCAGTAGGAATGGGAATGAATGAAGAAAGTAATTGCAACTTCCCTCCACCAGACATTATCCTCCCTCCCCATTATATTGACTTGCCTTGGACTGCAAAAAAGCATATTAACCAATGGATTGATGACACCACTTCAAGTTCCCTCCACCAAAGGATGAACATATTATCATTGACCACTTCTATTCACCAATGCTCCTCGGATTTCTGTATGTAAAGACCAATGTATGCCCAACCATGCTTAGAGTTATATGCATACAACAATGGTCTAACTCCATGTATGTGCAACAACAATGCTCCACATGCAGGGAACTTGAAGGAACCAATCTGACAGGACAGCTCCCTCCAACACTGGGAAAACTTTCCAGACTCTCGGATTTGTAAGATACTTCATTGAAATTGCGAAAGACGCTGTTCTTGTTTGCCAAAGTGCTGCATGCCAAGCATACGGAGCCCAACCCATCTGCTCACGCTTCTAGGGATTGCCATGCGAGGCCCGCCCATCTGCTTGCTCTTAAAAGGAGCACCTGTGCAGAGTGAACTTTACTGGTGTTTCTTTTGAATACCCTACAGCAACGTTTTTGCTAGAGCTTTTGATTTGTTTTACCTCCTAAGTCTTACTTCTGCCCGTGCAGGATTTTGAATGGAACTGCAATCACATGGCCGCCTGACAAAACTCCGTGTGTGGTTCAGCAGTATTCTCATAGCACCTTTTGCAGCACTTGCCCGTCCTTCTGCTCCACCTGCATCAAGACAGCGCCGCGTGAGCTTAAAAAAACAAGAAAAATGTGAAAGAGAAGAGAGAGAAGGCTCTCCTTCTCATTTTTCCCTTCCCAAGCACCAACGTTTTTGTGATACCTTTGCCATTCAGTGACTCTATTTACCCTGCCTATAACCCTCCATGGTGAAAAAATATGTTTTTATATATATATATTATTTTGCTTTTTTTTTTGGCTGAAAAAAACAGTATCATAAAACCTTGTCCCTCCCTCTGCAGCAAGCCAGCATGCCATCTGTATGATACCAATGCACGATGAACATCTCTGCCACATGTACATGCTACCTACTTGGCCTACTATCAGTGCCACATCTCTGCCGTACTTTCCATTCCATCCATCGCAATCCTCACTATCTTGGTGTGTTTCACACTTTTCTCGCAAACATATCCTGTCTCCTCTGCCTCTCCATCCTTTCCCGTCTCATCCCGATCCATCCCTCACACACTGCAGGCCCCCCCTCCCGACCCCTCGCGCCCCTTTCCCGACCCCCCGTGCCCCCCTCCGTGCCTCCACCTTCGCCCACAACAGCCCCATCCTCCTCCTCGATGGAACCCTCCTCTACAGCACCCTCTCTCTCACCCGAAGCATCTCCCTCCCAGTCTGGTGGCAGTCTTTCTGTGGGAGCTATGGCGGGTATCGCTTTGGCTGCTGTGATACTGCTGATCATTGGCGTGCTGCTGGGGTGGTGGAGAGGTCACAAGAGACGGGTAGCACGTGCAGCAAGTATGGTGTTGATCCTGAGACCGTGTACTTTACAGCCTGAGTCTGAAACCTTATACATTTATAGTCAAAGGGAGAGACCTGGAAAAGTGGAGAATACCATTTTGCTTTTGTTTCCCCACTGCGTCCCCCCCCCCCTGCCGCTTATCATTATTCATGAGGCGAAGTAGGTAGAAATCAGGGGAACATATTCCTCCCCTTTCTTCTACCCTTACCTCTCAATGCCGTCCTTGGGCGTTTATGGCTATTTGGGTACGGATAGGCATGATCAAATCCAAACACAAACGTATCTGAACACCTCGTGGGGTCGAACCAAACTGAGATTCATAATCTCACTTGACCCTGCCGATCAGGTTGGGATTATCCAGTTGGGTTGGGTCGACCCTTGATCCACAATCATGATAAAAGTTTGAGTAACGGCGACCCGTCGGGAGGGGTCGGCCCGGCCCATTAGCGTGTTACGAAGTGGTGGCAGGCAGCTAGGTTAGGCGAGAGGACCAGGGTAACGAGAGTAGCATCAGAGATGTGATTGGGAGGGGAGACGGAGAGGGAAGGTCTGTACGAGGAGGAAAGGTTGGGTTTCGCAGCGTGAATACGGTAAGGTGCAGTTGGAGGTGTGCGAATGGTTGTGAAGAAATAGTAAATGTGATCGATTGTTGAGCTGGTTCTTACTCGAGACGATTTGGCCATGTTCTAAGCCTGAAATAAGCCATTATCCAGTTTTTACCCCACATTACTACTTCTCACCTCTTCTTTTCTTCACCACGCTATCACAGGCTGGGCCGCCAGCAACTCTGGTGCTCACTGCACAGAATACTCCCTAGGGGAAGTCCTGAAAGCCACCAGAAACTGGTCCTCTTATAACCGGCTTGGCTCGGGTGCCTTTGGTGACGTGTACAAGGGCGTGTGTCCACACGATGGCACCACCCTGTGGGCCGTCAAGCGAGCCAAACTGATCGACGTGGATTTCCAGAGAGAGGTGAGCTGCTGAACCGTTATGATGGCTTGACGATTTTTCCTGAGCTGCCGTACTTCGTTCCACTTTGGCTTTGTTTCTCGACATTCCACCACGGCACGCCCCTGTTATGTGTTTCGCCCCTTCCATCAAGGCTTGTTTTGCATCGAATCCATCAACTTCCTGCCTTATTTTTTTTTCCTCGCAGGTCCAGCAAATGGCCGACAAGAACCATCCCAACATCGTGCGGCTGCTCGGGTTTGCTGTTGGAGGGGACATGAGGACACGGCCAGAGCAGATCTTGATCTACGAGTTTGTTTCCAACGGCGACCTTGACCAATCTATCAAGAACGGTACGGACCTCGTATTCATTCATGTGGACCCATTCCTAGTCTCTATATTGCACTCTATATTACCAATGATGACCATGCATGTTACCATTTTAGCAAGAAGGGTACGTGCGTACCACGTCTCTATCTGGACCCCTCACTGTGTCTCCCAAAGTTTAGCGTTCTGTCACTCTCGTGTTCTGTCACTCTCATGTTGTGTCACTCTCATGTTCTGTCACTCTCATGTTCTGTCACTCTCATGTTCTGTCACTCTCATGTTGTGTCGCTCTCATGTTGTGGTGCTCTCACGTTCTGTGCAGAGGCGTCCTTTGCTCATATTCCGTCACTCTCTTGTTCTGCCACTCTGTCGTTCTGTGCATGTGTGCAGAGGCGTCCTTCTCTCTCTCCTTCCAGCAGCGGCTGGACATCCTCATTGGTGCGGCACGTGGCTTTGAGTACCTCCACAGCTTTGGCCTTGTGCATCGCGACATCAAACCCGCCAACATCTTGCTCGGGGAAAACATGCAGGCAAGTGAAATTATATTGTCGAAAATACGAATATGAAGAAAATGAGACATTCAGAAAGTTTACTACAGTACAGGGTTTCCTAAATACACAGAATGATGCCGACCTTCCAACTACATGGTCATTGGCCTCATGAGAGTACAACAACAGTACGTCAATATGCCGTCAATGCTTCGTGCGTTCCAAACAATAGCAGGATGAAACTTGGGATCACGACGGAAACAAAAGGGTCCCAGAATGAATGAGAGAAATACCAAAGAACCTAGATCTCCACATACAGCATTTCATGAACTTCCGGTTATGATCAACTCAACAACACCAAAAATAGCTAGAGCCCTTATTTAATTTCTACTTCAATCATGCTAGTTGCCCCTGTTCTGATTATTATACCACCCTTCAGGCCAAGATTGCTGACTTTGGGCTGTTGAGGGTGGGCGAGGGCACCACTGTGGGCACGACTCGGGTGATGGGAACACCGGGCTATGTGGATCCCATCTACTCACGCACGTCCAAGGCCACCACTGCCACCGATGTGTACAGGTGAACGGCCACCACTGCCACCTATGTGTACAGGTGAGCTGTGTTTGATGCGCCAACAACACAAACACAACCACTGTCACCTATGTGGGAGGAGGTGAAACACAACCATTACCAGCCACTGATGCCTGAGATGAGTAATTTTCGTCATCATGCAATCTAGGATCATGAATGCGTGACTTATGATTCTGAGCATATAATCTGGCAGTTTCTTAGCACCTCAGAAGGACGTGAGGTCGATGCCTGACAGTGTTTTTGTGTCTTAGCTCTCTATGTGAGGCAACCACTTCCCAATATCTCTCCCAGACATCCGCTTCTCTGCAGCTTCGGATTGTTTATGCTTGTGGTGCCCTTGGTGTGGTCATCCTTCCTTCCCTCTATGTCATTTTTCCCTCGTGTGTGCAGCTTCGGTGTGCTCATGCTTGTGGTGCTCACCGGCCGTAGCCCCCGCTCTGCCGATGTTGAAAAGAACAGCCACATTCTTAAATGGGTAGGGGTTTGCTGCTGTGTGTGCGGCGAGTGAGGTATGCAGCACCAGAGTCACGTTGTGCTCATCTTGCGATAAGTAAACGATGCTGTCGATGCTGGTTGATATACCAATGTTCGCACAAAGTACGCAGTGCCAAAGTCACCCTGCCTACACCTCATCCTGCTCTGCCGGCACGTGGGGTACGTGCTGCTGCTTTTTTTGCAGCACGGGAGGTGAATTCAAGTAGATCCCCGCCTCTACTGTGAGATGTCACTGCGGCTCATGGGGGCAGCTCCAGCATCTTGTGATGGTAAATGCTGTTGTTTCTGTGCTGCTGCTCTGCTGCTTTCTATGTGAGGTGTCACTGTGGCTCATGCGAAATGCTGTCCCACCTGGCACGGCACTCCATTCCGATATGACTTCTGAGTCGACTCAAGAGTCATGGGCACCCCTGATAATGCTGTCCGACCTGACACAACACTGCATTCCTGACAACAGCTCCTCCAGCCTCAGGTGCCCCAGCACGGACGCCCATCCCCACCCCCCTTGTTCTATCTGCAGGTGGAGGATTGTATTCCGTCCATCCAACAACCCAACCTGCCTAAATGGCCTCCGCATGTGCGCCTGTGCATGTCGTGTCAGTGTCACTAACCCTCACTCACATCTTGCTCCTGCCTGCAGGTGGAGGAGTGTGTTTCCTCCAAAAAGTCGGCCCTCCTCAAGGACGTGAGAATGGACGCCCCAGATGATGCTGTGCTGCGCCTGGCCCAGCTGGCTCTGCGCTGCACTGTGCAGCGCACTGCAAGCCGGCCCAGCATGGCAGACATTGCCAACGAGCTGCAGGGAATCAGGCACGAGGTGGTGGGGAAGGAGGAGCTGAGTGCAGCGGTCAAGGTGGACGAGCTGGCAGAGGAGAGGCGGATTGGGATGTCGTTAAGGAAAAGCTTGGGCGCAGAGCTGGAAGCAATCAAGAGCATGGGTGAAGAGCCCAACAGGGAGCAGTGAGGGTGTTGTCCTGGGGTGGTATGGGTGCGCTTATCCACCATACAAACATGCCGTTTTTATCCCTGTCGCTTAGCAAACCCCAGAGCTATTTTATCCCTGCTGCTGGGTGTCATATTCACGCTATTTTATCGGAATAAAACATCCTGATTACACTGATTTCAGGATTAGAGGATATTGATGAACTTGTACCACTGATCTATCAGAACCCGTTCAAAAATCTCCCTGACATAACCTGAAAGAGGAGACAAATACGGTTATGGGGATACGTGAGGACAGTGGCCTGACCAGGAATCAGAGAGTGCGGAATTGAAGGAATCGGTAATGAGTGGCAGTCAGGAGGACCACCAAGACGACGGAGCGGAAGTGGAGGTGGGAGGAGCCATAAGAAACATGGGAAAAACAAATTAGAGGATGTCGAGTCGAGGGATCTTACAGACTAGCAATAACGTTCGTCATCCTATCATAACTTCTATTTGATATAGGGTACCACCTCGAATCGTACCATATATGGAACAGTCTGATAGGTAGATGCTAGGGATCATGAACACACAACTTGAGATTGGAATCTGCTGCGCACGATGATTTACACGATAAGTCCTTACGTGCTACCAGAACCAAAGGAGGTATACTCAATCCCTTGGATTCCTGTACTACCAGACTCCCCTAATGATGTTGTGCAGCGCCATTCCATGTACCTGCCCTCATCTCCACCCCCTTGATCCAACCCGCCAGGTGGAGGATTGCGTTTCGTCCAACAACCCCACCCTCCTCAAGGACCCCAGCATGGACGCCCTGGACGATGCTGCGCTGCGCCTGGCCCAACTGGCTCTGCGCTGCACTGTACAGCGCACTGCAAGCCGGCCCAACATGGCAGACATTGCCAACGAGCTGCAGGGAATCAGGCACGAGGTGGTGGGGAAGGAGGAGCTGAGTGCAGCGGTCAAGGTGGATGAGCAAGCAGAGGGTATGCGTAGTGGGACATCGTACCCCAAAAACTTGGCTGCAATGTTGCAAGCTATCAAGTCAAGGGCATCGAGGAAGACAAATAAATTATATCCTCCGTATTTACACGGTTTGAATGGTTTTATTGTACATGCCTTGATCTGGGGGTTGGATGAGGGGTGACAGTGGGGGGGGCTTTTAGGATTCAGTTGAGATCCATGAGGGGGGATGACAAGGTAAAGGTGTCAACAAACACATTTGTGTATTCTGTAGGCTAGGTTAGGTTTGACTATTGGAAGTAAAATTTTGTTAGGTATGTCAGCTATATCCATCCGTTCTAGTATTTCTTTCAGTTTCTAACATGGCATGACGACTGCCTTCGCTCCGCCTACCTTAGCCCGCCCTAGAGCACCCCCTACCGCACCGAGCGCGGCGTCCTCTAGTGTGTAGCACGCCCCTCCTAGCACCCCTAACGCGGCCCCTTAGTGCGACCGCCCGCGCAACACCTGGCGGCCCCTTCGCGCCCGCCTTAAGCCTCGTCGCGCCCGGCCCTTTCACCCGCCTTAGGCCCCAGCCGCGTCTACTGTTGCGCTACCGCACACACTGCTTGCTAGTTTACGGGGCAAATTGGCAAGAGTTTCACTAACGAACGCTGACAACAATGATTCAGAATGATAGCAACAACATTGGCATGCAAGAGTACATCAGACCTAGCAAAGCTGCTGGTTGACCTCCATCACAGCACGGTCGACCTGCGTGCCAACACGACTTGGTCGACCGTGTTCCAGCAGAGCAAGGTCGCGGCTTGCCAACGGTGCAAGTCCACGGTGTGCCAACGCTGCAGCAAGTCGGCTGTACAGCGTTGCACCCACAGGACAACGGTGCACCTGCTTCGCAGGTGCGCGTAGCTGGTTGGTGCACTCTTCCTTGTCACGTGCACAGCGCAGACGCTTGGCAGACTCCACGCCAGCGACTGCGCCCACCAGCCACGTCGACCTCGGGATACCATCCCCGTGGTCGGCCTCGCAGAAGCCACGCCCGGGGACCTTCGCACACGTCGCCCGGGTATCTTGGTCGGCCGGGCAACCACTCCTGGTCGACTAGCTCGGTCGATCGCTGGCTGCACAAGCCCGGCGTCCCCAATGTTCGGCGCCCTCCACCCCGGCGCCCGCTCGACGCCCAGCTGCTTGGCTTCCTACTCTTCGACGCCTTCCAGCTCGGCGTCCCCAGCCTCCCCTTTCGAGGTCGACGTCGGCCCCTCCCTCGTCGACCACCTGGTCGACCACCCCAAAGTTGGCGCCCTGAAGTCGGCGCCAGTGCAGTGGCCCCTGCACAGGTCGACCACCTTGTCGACCAGCGCGCCCACTGTTGCAGGTCGGCTGCACTCCCCCGCACACCCGACCACCAGGTCGGCTCCGCCCAAGCGAGGACTGGGGCCTAACACAACTCCCATTGACACATGCGCTGCTGCCAATGCTAGCAGCTAGCCGGGCGTTGTCATCGCGCCGCCAGCCCACGCCAGCCGCTCGCAGTTGTGCCACCTGCGCCAGCCGAGCCGCCCGTGCCGCTTGTGCCAGACCGCGACGCTGCACCGATTTCACGCCTGCCGTGCGGGCCCCTCTGTTGAACTCATATTTATTATATAGACTGTTTGCTGTAGTTCCTGTAGTGTTTGTGGTATTTCTGTAGGTGCTGCACCTCCCTTGTTTCCTATTTGTATCTTCGCTCCATATTGAATCTCTCTTTGTGGCCCAACTCCCTCTCTCGATACCATCGCCATGCTCCTAGCTCCTAACTCTCACCTCCTAAGCCATATCCTATCTTGACACCCTCCCCCCTTGCATTTGGAGCCGACACCACCAGCTCCCGCAGCCCCACTACCCTCACCCTCCGCAGCTGCACCTCCCGCACCCCCAGACATGACAGGGACTGGATGCTGCGGGAGGGACGACTGCGGGGTGACGTGCGACACACCTGAGCGGCAGGACGCGAAGGGAGGGGGGCTACCGGGGCAACTTTGGGGGGGCCCAAAGGTGAGGAACAGCAGGGGGGGAAAGACCTCAGTACCTCGGTGGGCGCGACTCCTGTAGTAATAGACAGACTCGTCGAACGTGACGTCCTGAGAAGCAAAGAACCCGCAGGTGACCGTGTCCTAGAACACCCAGCCGGACACGTCCAAAGGGAAGCCAAGAAAGACGCAGGCAGCGCGCGGAGACAACTTGTTCGTGCCAGGGGCGCGAACGTGAGCCAGACAACCCCCAGACGCGGAAGTCAGCTGCTACGCCCGGTAAACCTGTCCAGAGGGAGACCGGCATCACCCGCGGCCGTGCGTCACTGGGCCACAGGTTCAGCTAGTGCGCGGCATAGCGGACTGCCTGAGGCCACAACAACTGAGGGGCACCTGCATGGCACATGGAGGTCCGGGCGAATTTCATGACCAAGCCGATGCGTCGCTTGGCTACCCCGTTCTGCTGCGGCGAGGCTGGTAGCGTGTAAGACTGAATGACTCCCCGACCCTAATAGAACGTCTCTAGGCGAGTGGAAGAGAACTCAACACCACGGTCCGAGGGTAGGCGAAGCCCATACAGGCCCTGGGCTCCACCCCATGCTATTAGCCACAGCTCGAGGACGGTAGGCACGTCGGCCTTCCATCGCAAGGGGAAAACCGTGGTCCACCACAATCAAGAATTAGCGCTCCTGATGTGGGCCAAGGACCGGGGAGGGGACCCAAACGTCCAAGTGCAGGGTCTGGAAGGGAGCCGTGGTGGGGGGGAACGAGGAGGAGTGAGGGGCAGCCCGCTGCCGACCCTCGACGCAAGGAGTGCACGGCGGCGTAGGCGAGCGAGGAAGCGGGGCAAGCGACTCTAGGAGACCCGAGACCTGCCGGTGACGTGCCATCTTACTGAGATGTGGGAACGACAGGTGACCAAGACGGTGGTGCCACAAGACCGACGAGTGGGTGAGGGACCGACAGTCACACGACACAGCAGCTACCGGACCTGATCTGACCTGGCCTGACCTAGTGTGGTAGGACCCAGTGTGTAGTGAGTATAGACCAGAGCCCGGCTCCCTGTAAAAAAATGGCTAGAGGGGCCCTAGTGGTACCGACTATGCAGGAGGCAACAGGCTCGTCCACTGGGAAAGTAGTAACTACTCCTAGGTCGTGGAGGTGACTGGCACCCACCAGGTTCCTGGAGAACGAGGGCGTGTAGTAACCTGTGAGGAACCCAGAGGGAGCCGTCGGACACGAGAGAGTGGTGGTGCTGCGGGCAACTACAGGTCCCACGGAGGGGTCAGCCAAGGCAACAGTCATTGGAGTGCGCAGTGGTGTGAGGTCAGTACAGTCGCGAAAGAAACCGCTGGACGCTCCAAAGTCTAGGCTGGAGGAAAGCTATGCAGTCTGTGAGGTCGTACCCGAGCCAGCGACTAAGGCTGGTGCTAGACTAGTGGTAGCTGCAGCTCCTACACAAAGACCCTCAGAGGCGCCTGGACTGGAAACAACACACGCACCAAGACTGGAAACGCAGGTCTCCACTCGTGCAGTCGGGAAAGGTCCTAGACCAGGTAGGTGAGACTCAACTAGTGCAGCAGTGCGCTGGCGAAGACGCGAGGGCCAGTGCGGTGTAATAGCATGGGGACCAAAACGCTCACGGTGAAGGTCGTCGAGTCGACGGTAGCAGCTGGACGCAGAGTGGTCAGGACTCCAGCAAGTAGTGCCAGCACCAGGGCCTGTCAGGGACCGGTACCCGCAGGGGCCGACGTCTCGCCCACTGTTGGCTGAGCCACTGCTGGGGGCGCCACACTTTGAACCCGCATGTTCCCACTGCCGAGAGTGCGGCGGCTGGACCTGCTGCTGTAGAGCTCTAGTTTACATCATGTAATAGCTAGAAACGAGGGGGGTGCACCGGGGGGCGGCCTATTCTGCTGCTGCTGCTGCTGGGGGCAGCCTACGCTGCTGCTACACAGGTGGGGCTGCTAGACAGGTGGGGCTGCTGGACAGGTGGGGCTGCTGGACAGGTGGGGCTGCTAGTCAGGTGGGGCTGCTGGACCAGTGGGGC